GTTTACAGGGACGACGGAGATAACTGAGTCTCAATGGAAGGACAGCGGGGAACAAAGCCAAACAGTCAGCTCGCTGCGTGTGCCCAGTCTTGTTGCAGTGGGGGAGGATGTGTTTGCCGTTGCCGAGGCGCAGTGCGCGAATGGAGACAGCGACGCAGGCTGCTTTGTCGGGATTGCGTCGAAGCACCTCAAGCAAACCGCGGAGGGCGCAATGGAGATCTCGGCGGCGGAGGCAAGTCTCTTTCGCATACGAATTGGAGCGGAAGGCGTCCCCGCTGGCCTGCAGGCAACGGAGGTAATGCGGCCAACAACACTTGTGCGGGGCGACGAAATATACGTGCTGCTGGGAAGATACAGCCGCACACAGGCTGCGGGTCAAGGCGCCGCTACAACTGTTGGGGGGCTGTTGCTGGTGAAAGGGAGTGCCACCGGAGCGGACGGGGCAAAGGCAATTCAGCTGGACAAGGCCGCTGCACTGACTCCTGAAGCCACGAGGCTTTCTGGCTCCCTTGCACAGGTGGCTGTTGGCGGAGGCCCGGGTGTTGTGCTGAAGGACGGCACGCTTGTGTTCCCCATGCAGGCCACAGACAAGAAGAGTGGAAAGAGCGTCTTGCTCTCCATGAGCCTGGCACCATCGGGGAGTAAATGGGCGCTTTCGTCAGTGGCGACCGGTAAGGGCTGCAGGAACCCGTCCATCGTGGAGTGGGGCGGAGACGAAAAGAAACTCCTCATGCTCGCGTCCTGCGAGGACGGCTACTACAAGGTGTACGAGTCCACTGCGGCCGGGAACATCTGGTCCCAAGTGGGCGAGCCGATTTCCCGCGTGTGGGGCACCTCACAGAACCGTCAAGGAGGGGACGGCGTGCAGGGCGGCCTCACCACCGCAGAAATCGAGAAGCAAAAGGTGATGCTGCTCACCACGCCGGTGTACTCAGAGGAGAAGGAAGGCGCCGCCACAAGGGCCCGGCTGCATCTTTGGGCGACGGACATGCAACGCGTACATGACGTTGGGCCGGTGTCTCGTGAAGCCGATGACGCCGCAGCCAGTTCCCTGCTGTACAAAAACGGCACGAGTGAGTTGATTGCACTGTACGAGAAGAAGAATGGCGATGATGACTCGTACGGACTCGTCGCTGTGAGCCTGACTGCGAAGCTGGAGCAGATCAAGTCTGTGGTGAAGACCTGGAAGGACATGGACGCCGCCTTGCAAAGCTGCACTTCCAGTGGCGGCGTCGACCCGCGAAAGAGGGGCATGTGCAACGGCCCCATTCCCACGAAAGGGCTGGTTGGCTTTTTGTCCGGTAATTCGGCTGGGCGCGCGTGGGTGGACGAGTACCGCGGCGTGAACGCCACGGTGACGCAGGGAGAGAGAAGGGTCCCCAACGGCGTGACGTTCACAGGCGCCGGAGCGGGGGCGGAGTGGCCTGTGGGAAAGCAGGGAAAGCACCAGCTGTACGGCTTCGCCAGAAACAAGTTCACGCTCGCGGCGACGGTGGCCATCCACGCGGTGCCGGGGGCGGACGGCCGCCCCATCCCGTTGATGGGTGCGAGGATGAGTGACGCAAACGGCACTGTGCTCTTTGGCCTGTCTTACACGAAGGACAAGACGTGGGCGCTGACGGTCAACGGCAAGGGCCGGGAGGCGGCGGGCGGTGCGTGGGAGAAGGACAAGACGTACCAGGTGGCGCTGCGAATGCGTGACCTCGGCAATTGGCGTGTGGACGTTGACGGGGAAACGATTTTCGAAGGGAGCTCTGACGTCCCTCTGTTGAAGAGAGGCACGATGTCGCACTTCTACGTTGGCGGCGACGGCGCGAAGGCTGCAGCGGACGGCCACCGCGTGACGGTGAGTAACGTCCTGCTGTACAACCGCCCGCTGGAGGAGGGCGATGTCAGGGCACTCGCAGCCGGCAAAGTCGCCATCCCGCCGCCGGATGGCGGCAGCTCGCCCACCACGCAGGCGGGAGGTGGGGGTGCTGACAGCGCAGAGCCCGCCGCCAGCGTCGCTAAGGCCGCGAGCACCGCTGCCCCGAGGGCGCGGAGCTCAAAGAGCGACGTCACTGTGCATTGGCGTGTGCCGCAGGTGCTGCTGCTGCTGCTACTGGAGCTGTGCGGCGTTGCGGCTCTGTGCAGGATGTGAGGCGGTGCGGGTCTGCCGCACCCGTCGCAGCACCTCCGCTGCTTGATTTCCAATTAATTTGCTGTCCGAGGAGGCCTCTAATCTTTTCTTCTCGTTTTTCCTCTTTCCCCTTCTTCGTTTGCTTCTTTTTTTGCTCCTGATGTTGTGCTGGAGTAATAGTCGTCCTACGGCCTCTCTCGATTTCGTTTCTTTGCTTCGTCACTCCATGCACGTTCCAGTGGGCGGCGCACCCTTTTCCCCCTCCTTGTTTGCCTCTGCTGCCGCCCACACACACACACACACAGACGGACGCGGTGCCGACCTCGTGGCTGTGCGCCGCACGGATTTAACACAAGCGAGGCACGGGGCCGCGGCCACCGTGAGATGCAAACATGTTGCGTGTGAGCGTGAGCGTGAGCGTGAGCGTGAGCGTGAGCGTGGTCATTTTGCAGGGAAGTTGTTTTTTTTTGTGCAGGTAACAAAATAAACACATACACTCTCACTGTCCTCTTGGGCTGCTGGACACGTGAAGTAAAGAAACACCTGCCGAAGTAATTTCTTGTTTGTTTGCTTTTCCCTGTGCCCTGCTGGACTTCCATCGCTTTGTTTTGGTATTAATTTTCTTACTTGGGGCAACTCACTGCAGCTCACGCTGAGTTTGTGCGCCGTGTCCGCCGCTGTCGCTGCGTGTCTCCGTGTCTTGTTTGATCCCCCCCGCCGCTGGCTGTGCCGCCGACACGCCCCCATTCACATTCCGCCTCCTCCCCCTTCCCTCTCCCGCTAGAGGC